TGTATTAGGCCCACTCCTATTCATAATATATATAAACATTGTGAATGCTTTAAAAAGTGTTGGTAAACCAATACTATATGCAGATGACTTAAAAGTGACCTATAAATGCAAGAACACAGATCTCGGAATAACAGTAAACGCCATACAGCAAGAATTAGAAAAAATGGACAGATGGTGTGACACCTGGCAACTCCAGTTTAATGTCGACAAATGTGGCTGGCTCTGCATAGGTTGCAACAATTTAGAACTTGACCTGACAATTCAAGGCCATGCACTTTTACGACTGGAATCTGTATTGGACCTAGGACTGAAATACTCACATGACTTATCATTTTCTGAACATATCTCCAAACAAGTGTCAAAGTCACGCAGACTTATCGGCTTTCTACTCAGGAACTTTTACAGAAATGAGTCCAGAATTCTGTTGTACAAGGTTTGTGTGCGTCCTTTATTTGATTACTGTTCATTCATGTATAGTAGTATACGCATAGAGGACAAATTGAAAGTCGAGGGAGTGCAGAGGTACTTCACGTCAAAATTACTCGGAACCGAAAATGGTGCGAACTACTCCACTAGATGTGACACCCTAGGATTAGAAACACTATGGCTAAGACGCCTGAGACTAAACTTAACACTTTACTATAAGCTTCTAAACCACTTAGTTTTTACCTCTACTAATGGCATTCGACTTTCAGATGACAGTGGCTACAAACTAAGACACACTAAGGGTACAGTAGCTATCGAACAATGTAAAACAGCTACCAGGCAAAAGTTTTATTTGATTAGGTATGCACAGATATGGAATAAACTACCAATGGAAATGCGTCAAGCAGGTACATTGGCCTCCTTCAAAAAAGTGCTTAACGACAAACTACACGAGTTTGCAAACGACAGTAGTTCTAGTTCCTATCTGAGAGCCTCCGAAATTATAGGTCCATTTAATGTATAAGCTTAAAATATACACCTGTTGTTTTTTGCCTATATTTATAATTTTAGATAAAACATTAACGATTAAGATACTTACCCTCAAACAGACAAGAAGTTTCGTTTGTAAAACTTCTACCCAACACAATAAGTGGAATAAAATGGACATAAACCGACAACATGAAAAAGATATAACTCACCACAACATCACATGGACAGATGTACGCTCGTCGGACATCATATATACCTCACCAACTACAACCCAACATTCCTGAGATAATGTGATGAACTTATATCCGTAATGTTGCTGAGCAGTCAATATCCACAACTCCTGTCGGAACAACTAAAATTCAAAAACCTTCCTCACGAGAAGTAAATACCCACAAGCAGTAGAAATCCATTAATTAATGCGTCTAAAGCTTATGTATTTTACTCCCAACAATGACATTGCAGATCAAATGAGATAAACATATCACTGATTTCCAAATAACACATCAATGAACTATAATTCAAGGATTCTGTACACAACAAAATTATGTATGAAAACTGACTTCAAGCTTTATTTTTTTCCCAGGCACTTATAACCCATCCACCAAAGACCTGGTTTTTTTGTTAATGCGAAGACAATACTTCTGTATTTCCTGATGTGTTGCACTCACTGACAATCTAGCGGATTTTTCCAACTATGCACAGAAATGATTGTACATAAGTGAAAAGGATGTTTTATACTATTGGGATTAACATTTATCAAGTGTATGTATAATCTCCAGTGTACATGTTAAACATATTTTGCTATCGACTGTAAATTGTGACTGAATAATATGGTCCTATTTCTGTAACAATTTGATGATGCCTGTAAACTGGCGTCCCTCATGTACTGTATCATGAGAATAAATTTATTTATTTATTTATATCTTCAACTAAGTCGTTTCATAACCTCCCCTTCTTTGCTATTATCCTGAAGCCATATTATATGCGTTTGTATAACAGCAGTTCACAAAATTATTTTGGAATCATATGAACGTAGTGTCCGACATCCATTAGAGCTATGAACGTAAGGTTTAGAAGCGGTTACTATATCAACTTAGAGAGGGCTTATCGATGTCTGAAACTAAGGGCTTCGGATAGTGTTCATAATGCCTCCAGAAGCAAACAGAACTTTCAGAAGCAATAATGGCAAGAAGAGGAGCCCTAGCTACTGTAGTGCGAAATATATTTTTCAACCTATCTATAAACCAGTTTGGATTGTCTCCTCATGTTTGCGGAAGCTCAAGCGTGGCTAGGAAGGCTTAACCACATTTGTCAGTTTCAAAACAATTCGTCATCACACGAAATTTTCCTTCGTTAACTTAGTTTTGATGCCGGTCAGGGAGATGTCAATGGAAGTGAACATTGAACGTTGATTCATTGGCCTCGATCGGCATTGGTGGGCAACTCGAAGGCGCGAATGGTTCGATCGTGCACAAGTTTGACGAAGACGAACAAAAACGAATGAAAGTACGTAATAATTTTGTATAAAACATTTGTTTATAGACTTGTATTATTCTCCGCTTACATTGTCATACAGTATAACTTCCTTCTTACAATACTGGTGTTTTGGAGTTAAAGTCGAAGAAAGTACATAGTATTTGTCGGTGCGGAGCGTCTTTGTAACAATAAAACTTAGGGATAATTTCGTTGGCAGTGGATATACTATTACCTCTGTTATTTTGTTTAGTGGTCTCCAATTTTTGACCTTGAATATGTGCTTTTATTTCCACCTTAATTTATTGTCTAACCTCAAAACTCTATTGTCTTTATACGTGTTCCTATTACAATTCCATGCGTAACTAGATTTAGGAAAATATGTTGCGCAACCTCAACACTACGTGTCAATGTAGTTGAAGATTGAACGATCAATTCATGGTTGTTTGCTTAAACCCAACGCTTTCATATTATGTCCATGTTACTGAATTTCGGTTTATTTTTTCTTCTCGGTGCACTATATCTGCACAATGTAAGGAATTGCGAAATACACAGAGCACTTAGAAAACGGCAATAATAATTGTCTCAGACAATTAACACTGTAGTGTGTTGTGACACTAGGCGGCTGCAGTGACAAAGCTGACTGACTGAGTTTTAACTTAGAACTCAGTAAAGAAGTGGAGCAGTTCGATTTTTTACACTTCAAACTCGAAAAATATTACATCATATATTGTATTATATTAAGCAAAACACATTTCATCGGATGTGTTTCGGTTTCGTATCTGGGCTGTGGGATGATATAAACTAATTCATGAGATCTAACGAGACACAGTGAGAGAGATATCTCGGGTAAGAGGAGAAATTCTCGTGAGATAACTCTTTCTTTCAGTTAGACAGGAACCAAATGGAAAGATACGATTATCATCTGTTGACATTTCGTTATACCTGGATTATATGTCATTCTGTCTGACTTTCAAAATCAAAGCTTGCAGACAATTGCACCTGTTCTATTTACCATATTCCCTGTAGCACAAAAATGTAGAGAAAAAGAAATTAAATGGAACTCTAATGAGCATAAATGTGATAGAAAACGAACAGTGATATGGAAAAATATAAGGGTTGCTCAGGTATGTGAGATTACACATAGTGAATGCATCTGTGTCATTAACAACGTTTAGGTCACATTTCGACCTAAAACTAAGCTTAACCTAAATATTACTCACCATATTAGACTGCTTAATCCAGAAGAAAGGGCACAGACACTGCGGTCAAAAACCAGTAGTCTCTTCATATCTTCAAGTTTCAATGTTCAGTTCTCGCAGTCTAAGTGGACAATATCACCAGCATACAATAAGTTGACGAGACTGTCCAACGGTAAGTCCCTAAAGTCAATGACAGACAATTCTATTAGTATATGGGTGATGAAAGTGAACTAAAATTAGGATGACAGTGGTAGAAATGAGCCTGGTATTATGTCCTTCTTGGAAATATGAGTTCCCTCATAGTTTAGTTTCAGCATTAAGTGAATGGAATGCAGCCTATAGATTCATGAAATTCACATACCGACGTACTACTTTTCCCGAATCCTAGTTAATGTCTCCTCAGTAAAGTGAGAAATGGGCATTGTACCTGTGTAAACTCAATAGGCTGTGAACTGCTGCCAGTAAAGATGACAACAGTTCTTGGAATTACCAGTTATAATTTTAGCTTGATCGTATGCAATATTCAGCAGTTATAAAATGGCCACCTGATGAACATCGAATCCATATAGAAAGCGCAGAAGATTTAGTACAACACGCACACTCCTGATTTCACTATGAAGCATGAATGCCAAGCGCATATCTTTACGGGCCTACAACGTTCACAGATTAACTCTCAACACTGAAGTGGAAAAATTTATATTTCTCCTTGCTGAGTTTAACACAGCGAGTCTTGCTAGGTAAATTTCTTATGCAGAAGAGAAGAGCAAGGCATTCATAATCTTTCGCTACATGTGGAATTGCAGTGCAGCTCGATGCGCAATACTATGTACACGAATAAACTGAAAAATAATGTCCTCCTCACCTTCTGAACAACTTGTCCTTATTCCCGGATTATAACTTTCTTTCACCTATGAGCCTGAGGAACGTCTATGAAATCGCAATATTACATCAATTAAATCTCCTCCCAAAACCAAAGCCACTTGAAACCCATAGCAACAAGCACCATAGGAGGAATGCAATAAAGCCACTCTTAAATTACATGTTTTCTGTCGTTTCTGCCTTTGGTGTTATTTAGAATTTTCCGAGTTCCACACGAATTATATGTCGAACCATTACGTAACATAAATGCAATCTTCTTCGGAATGCTGGTATTTTTTATTAAAACCCTTGGTAATTCACTGGACATTACATACCTATGTGCAGTCAAATTAAGAGACAAAGCTCTAAAAAGTGAAATCCTGGCTAAAAACATTCAAGCTTCGTATTTTTATACTATTGTTTTGTATGCCGAAAACTAACAAGGAAATGTGAACAAATAATCCTATTTGTGTTTTACTGGGTCATTATAAGGTTATTCGTTTGGTAATATGTGTTAGAGTATGAGCGGTGAATACTAGTTATCCAATAGGAATGGTTTCCGAAAATCTACCCTATCTTAATACTGAATATGATTTCAGCGGCAGGAAATATGACGTAGTATTTTACGTAGAAGACATATCGCATGGTAAAATAGAAATAACTGACCGCATTACGCTTGAAGAATGGCATACAACACTGAGTGATACATGTAATTCTTGGTTAAATATCCACTTTACCATATAGTTGTTGAAGAACTGACCAGAAAGACTGGAAATTTCAAGAGGTTTGATGTCTTTTGCTCTATGTTACAATCAGCCATATCCAAGGTTTGTGATTTACTCATGAAATTACATCATAACAAATTCAAATTCTAGCGCTCCAGTTTCCTCAAATTGGATTTACTGAATTACGAAGATCTGAGCGAAATCAGAAAGTCTAGAGTAATCAACGACTATTCAGTCCCCAGTCTCCTGTCATAGTTAAAGGGAATAAGCGGTATTTGATTTTGTCATACATCACTGAGTTTGACAAGATTCATTACCCCATCCCTTTGATGTTTTTTGGCTGCCCATCTCCGGACACTTATCGTAATAATATTCATGAATTAAGAGTCAAGCTGTATAATAATCGCTCAGCCATGGTAAATCTGGAGTTTTATTATTACATCTTTAGAGCATCCTTGAGCAGCAGTCGAATGGTCCAGAACCGTACAATGCGCTTACAAAGTAAGGCTTATATATGCTTTCATTAGTAAACGACTCCAGGATAGTAGTAAAAATGTCCTACATGTAGCCTATCAAACTACCCAGTCGGTGAATTTTTGGGGACCTGGAATATGTGGGTAAAAACGTGGGTAGTTTTCCATTCATATTTGGGCAAAGTGTGAAAAGGTGAACTGTTTTCGGTTGCAATATGGGCGAAGGGAATTTTTATGGAAAATGACATGGGTGAAGTGGAAAGTTTGGGCAAAGTGTTCGTTGAAATTGTGGGTAAACTGGGAAAAAGTGGAACAATAGAATTTTTCGGGACATGAGTAAACGGGAAAAAGTAGCCAATATGGGTAAAGTTGGAAACCATATAGCATTTACACCATCTGTCGCCCACCTATTTGCCTGTCAAAATTATTTATTTAGTCCACGTTTCGCCCACATTGCCCAGTGCATTTTCTGACTAGGTACTCAGTCTCCCAAGAATATTTATTAAGGTGTTTAAATCTTGGAACTGATAATTTTTCCTTATTTCCTATTTAATGCCTAAATACAGTGTTAAACTTCAGATTTTGATGCATTAAAATGTATTTATCATTTGGTGTGTTAACACTAACAAACATAGGCATGTCGGAGATGGTTGTTTCTCATCTATTCAGACTGTTCTAGTAAAGTTTTCAGAAAGTGTAGATGATCCTTATAGCTTTATAGGTTGATTTCTACATTATAAAACTCCTAATTTTTACTGAATATACTGCAGAAAGATGCTCATTTGTCGCAATATTTAAAACCTTGAAATCCCGTACCTTCTGGAGATACATTCTAGTAATATTTGCAATTAAATTATTCTGAATAATCGGAACTTTCAAATTCTCATCAGCATTATGATAGGGCCCGACGTGTGGACTTAGAAACTGAAGCTTGTTTCCCAGAAAGAAATTATTTCTAAGCGCTGCAAAGTTTGTTTGATGAGGGCTTTAACTTACAGTTATTCAACTTGCGGTGGAAAATGAGAATGGAATTTTCTAGGGGCATGTATTGTATAGTAGATAGATGAAATTACTAAAATACTCTTCGAGTTTATTGCAAAATCAATAGGATTTATCGATGAAAACTTTGTACGTAATATTTGCCTTTCAACACAACAAATCACTGGTCGAAAATCCCTGTATATACCATCTTTTTCATCAGTTAAGAGCGTGCTTTTGGCATAAGAAACAAGTGGAATTACTAAACTCAATCCTATGATTTAGTTAGCAGAGTTTGTTGGGAGCATCATCTTATGTCTGATGGTAACGAAGTCCATGCTGATCATAACCATGTCTTTTTTGAAGATACTCAGCTGACTTAACGTGTTGTCCATATCTTCAAATAAAAGAGTAGTATCATGTGCATGATGTAGGTCTACAGGACTTCCCTTTTAGTGACAATAGTAATAAACTAAATATTCCCACATTGTATCATAAGAAAAAGACGTAAACAGCTAAGAAAACTTTCTTTTCGACGATTCATTTTCATAAGATAATAAAAAGAAGTAAAGTTATAGTGACAGCGCTACTCTGGCCACGGTAAGGCGAGTGTATATATGTAGCGCTTTTGAATGCAGGGATCCGATTTCAGATCTCGAATAGCTAGTGATTCAGCTATATACAGATGGCGTATGTGAAGTCCCTTTGTACGCTAGTGAGGGACTCCGTGTAGCACTATGAACCACTCCTGCGGGGGTACTCTATGTCCAGAGGAGGGAAAAAGAATAGTGATGGCACCATCCTCGAACACCTTGTCATCTTAAAGTTTTCTACTCAAGATTTCAGTCTCCTCTCTCGGGTATTTATTGAGGTTCTGCCATTTTCGAGATTATTTCATTTACCAAAGGTTTTTAACAACCCATTTCCCCGATAAGTCCAAATAGTTGATGGATATACCTTATATGGACACTAAATATTATTTTGCGATTGTTCGTAAGACTTTTGGTCAGCTTTTTTACTCGTCATACTCAAAACCTACCGATATCAATCTAGTTTCATCAGTCATGTTGAACGAAGCCACAACTATCCACTGGCATTTACCAACTTTTGTGTACAGTTTATCAATAGCCTTCCCTCCATAGATTTCTGCAACAGGCTTCCCTAGCATAGCTGCTTTTGTCACACTCAGATATATATGTAGCTGCATCCCTCATAAATAAGGACTTCATGTTCGCGTCGAAAAACTAAAGTTATAAGTGCTCGAACATACTGACTAATACATGATCTCAGTCCTCTCGGGCGTTCTATCTTTGTCGACCGTTGGCTTGATGTCAGCATTTTTTGTATGAAATTATGTCTTTCCTCACTTTTTACAGTAGTCCTGGCCACAAGTAGTCTATTATCTGAATTGTACTATGAGAGACAACCACTGTTTTCGATTTGTAGTCGTGATATTCAACAGATGAGTACAATACAGTTTTCGGATCAGCCTACTTTCTTCGGCATTAAAGTTGCTTGATGAGATCAATACATATAAAAGTCTTATTTTTGTCAGTAAACTAGACAGGTTCTGATAAAACTCATTCGAACTAGGACAAAGCATACATCATATGCTCCTTGATTTGTAATGTTTTCCCAGCTGACTTCAGTATCTCATAGCATCCGTCTTGAAATATGTTCGCTTATTGATGTTAGTATTCAGTCAAGTTTCACCGTCATCCATGCTCAGTAAGTTGAGAGAGAATTTGAAAAATTTTGTTTTCTGAAGGAAACTGTAGTCAAAACTCACCTTGATTCAATTTATTACCGATTCACGCAAGTAACTGGCGAGAATTTGGCTGGTTTGAAGTCAATGAGTCATATAGAAGCGCTGACTTAATATTAGTTTCGAAAATCTGAATCTTGTGTCATGTGCTAAGTGCAGCGGATTTCCAAATCAATTTCACATTAACGGCTGTCTCTCTTCCTTTTCAGAGCCTGTCTTTGACATCTGCATTCGTGCCATCTGTAGTTAAAACAATGCTGCCCGGATAAGTTCACAAGTTTACCAGCTGGTCCTAAGCCTGGATAAAGAGGTTAAGCTGAACGTAGAGCTGACGACCCGACTCCGCAGATTCAATCCAGTCGCTACTGAAACTTCGATACACCCAAAACTGTGTATGAAAATTCAGTGGTATGTAGCGTCATACAACAAACGAAGCCCCTATACAAACAAATCTCACCCACTGAGCTATGCGTTGGTGGCACAGTGGTTAGGACTCTCGCCGACCATCCACATGGTCCGAGGTTCGATCCCCTGCCGACGAACACCTTATATGAATGGTCGGCCTCCAAAATTTGGGCTACTGATATCCAGGCTGAAAATTCCATACTTGTACCAAAAATACAGTGTGGAATCAAGATGTAATCAAAAATAAATAAAAATAAAATAAAAAATGCTTTCACAAGTTTACTCTTCATTAGTATACAATTTTTATTTTCGTTTTTGTGTGTGAGGGTTGGTCTACTTATGGTATAAGGTTTTTCCCTTTGAGGCAATATGCAGTAAAGCAAGCATTTTCTATTGGCTTAAGATCTCCACCATTTTTATGCAGTCCTGTAAAAGTATCAGAGTCTACAGTATTTTTATGGATTTTCGAGCATAAATAAATTCTGCAGAATATGATGAGGTCATATTTCAGTGGTAAGGTCCTTAAAAATTAACATTTTGACTCTTCATTACTCTTAGAATTACTAAGCTGCAATCAGAAAATACGGCCTTAAAGCAAGAGCTTCGTTATGTCAAAGAATGTCTGAGTCAAGTGAAAGCCAACCAAAAAAATCATTCTCACTATGATTCCCAACCATATTCCGAAAAATTAAAACAATTGGGTCTTAAAGGCTTGGTGAACAGTTTGGAAACAGAACTTTTTGAGAAAGATCTAAGTCGTCTCGCCAGATGGTTGAGTATACTCGTGAAATAGCTCGACTACAGGCAGATTTGGAGGCTGCAACAATAGACCAGAGAGGACTGCGTCGTAAAGTCAACCAGTTGTCTGAGGAACTATGCTTCCTAAAAGGCGGGTAAGTTGGTTTTTGCATTAAATGTAGGATTCTTCGTTGTAGACAGAAAATGAATATTTAAGGCTGAATTCTGTCACTTTTAGTAGAAAATGTTTTTACCTGGAAGTGATTTTCATGAAAGTTTATTCAGTATATTATGCGATCTATGCTTGACAATAGACAAAATTTTAAAGTGGTTGTTCTTTGGCAAAATATTACGTAACAGACACATTTTTGACTTTTGGAAGACTGTATCATCTCACGAGAATTACACTAAAAGTCACACAGCTGAACAGAATCAGTAACTTCCATTCAAATGAACAAAGTGCATTATAAACCAGATACGAAGTTAATTTGTTCATTCAAAGATTTAAAAACCCTGTTTTTGACTTAATCGTATTTATCGTCTCCAAAATCACCTCCTGATTTGTTTGCATCTGTAGTGATTTTTATTTACTATGTGAATTCGAATCTAAAGTTGGCGACTGTCTTATTCCGTCACATCAGGGTCCTATAGTCATATTTACTTTTTAAGATAGTTACTATTCGTCACAAGAGTGCAATTGTGGTTGTTCATTCTACGCCTATTATTATTCCCTTAAGTTCGAAGTGGAACATACGGCTTCAACAGCCCATCTACATTTCATCCCGCCCAAAGTAGTCCTCTTCGGCTGTCTCCATGATTGTCTATAAGCTCTCATTCGACTCTGTCGATCGAGGAGTTCTCTGGAGATGCGTGGCTGTAAAGGGAATACCGAGAAAATATATTGCACTGATTAAGGCACTCCACTCGTACTCATACAGCCAGGTGAGGGCTTACGGCGAGCTGTCATCTGAACTGATGACGACCAGTGGTGTCCGTCAAGGATGCCCATTATCTCCTTTTCTATTCAACTTCATCATAGATGTGTTAATGGAATTAACCCTAGGTGACTTCAGCGACTCAGGGATTGACTTGCTACCAGGGAATAATCTCGTTGACTTGGAATATACAGACGATATAGTCCTTCTAGGCGAAGACGCTGACGAAATGCAGAGTCTTCTAAACACCTTGAGCCGCAATCTACGAATGTTTGGCATGCGATTCGCTCCCGCCAAATGCAAGATGATGTTACAGGACTGGACTACATCGACGCCTAGTTTAAAAATAGGAAGTGAAGTGGTAGAGCACGTTGACCGCTTCACTTATTTGGGAAGTACCATCAGCCCCAACGGGTTGATCTCTGACGAAATCTCCGCACGGATGCAGACGGCTAGCTTCGCATATGCCAGTTTACGCCGACTCTGGCGTAGACGAGATGTTCGACTATCGACCAAAGGGCGGGTGTACTGCTCATCAGTCCGCTCCGTCCTCCTTTATGGTTGTGAGACCTGGCCACTGAGAATGGAAGACACGAAAAGACTAGCTGTCTTTGATCATAGGTGCCTGCGCTCTATTTCCCGTGTAAAGTGGCATAATAAGGTGAGCAACATTGAGGTTAGGCGTAGAGTTCTAGGTAAACAGGGGAAATCAATCGACGAAGTCGTGAAGTTACAAAGACTGAGATGGTTAGGGCATGTGTTACGTATGCCAAGCCATCGCCTCCCTCGACGAGCAATGTTAGCGGATATAGGGTCAGGCTGGAAAAAAGCTAGCGGCGGTCAAACGAAAACTTGGCATCAGTCAATGAAATCCACAACAGTTGGTCTAAGCCACGTAGGAAGGTGTAGACTTCCAGGCTGGGGTCCTCGGGACGGTAAAAATCTATGGTTGGAAACAATTGGTGACATGGCTGAAAATCGTTCTCAGTGGCTGGTGTAGATGCATCCACTCCTTGTGACTTATGATCTCCAATGAAACTGTTTTGTTCTTCGTTATTACTCCTTTGTCTCACACCTCTGCTTACTGTCTCTATTATGCTTTTCTTGTGCTTTCTTCTCTTGCTTCGCGTGCTACACGGAGTGTGGCGACTTAAACTTCCGCACATTTGTGCAAAGTTCAATGTCGAAAACAGACAGACAGACTCATCTCCTCATCATATGTTCTTCATGTCACCGTCAGACGCCCAACTCGTCATCCCCCATTCGGGCTCCACTCGAGAGCCTGGCCCGTGTGGGTGTTGTCACTCAACAGTCTCAACTTGTATCCAATCCATCCTCATTTCCTTCTGCATATTTGTTGGGCAATAGATCCTTGGTTGATTCGTTGCTAGATTTACTTGTTGCTTATCCTTTCTGGCTATCTGATCCTCAGTTTGGGGCCAGTGAAGACAGCTGTTGATGAAAGTCTGCAGTCAATAGTCCTATGATTTACACTTATGTCATTATAAATAATTTAGTTATGCTTACCTATTATTTTACTTTTATGTGTTTACCTTTTGCTTTGATTTTATTAAATATTAAGACTTTTAACACGCCCAAACCATCTTATCAATTGTTTTTCTCGGAGCTGTTCCATATTGCACAACTTAACTAGACTAAAATAGAGAATATCTGGCTTCTCTGCTTGTGCTTCAGTTTATGTATGACAAGCAGATCTAGTTGAAGTGGTTGGAAGCCTAGTTACTAATTTCTGCTAAACTTTAGAGGCTCAGATTTACATTTACATTTGTACTATACTGTACTTTTGTACCTGTCGTTTTATAAAAAATTTTGGTTTATGTATCTTAGAATCGTGACGTCTCACTTTTTGAATAAGCATTTAAGATGAAATCCCAGTGACCTGTAAAGAACTGTTATTGAATTGTTCAGTGGGGAAATTTCTGGCTGACTCACTGAACAGTGGAATTTTAAGCGTTAGAGATGTAAATCTTCATTAGTTTGCAGAAGCACCCTGTCGACAAATAGAAGACCTAAGCTCGATGTTTCCTGTCACCTGACTTTTCCCATCGCCTAATATTAAATCTTTCCATTATCTTGCTTAGCCTAATGGTCACGTTGCACACCTGATGAGTATATTTCGATTTTTCGACGTGTAAGCCATTTTGGTTGGCATCCAGTGACTACATAGTGAATTTTAGCATATCAAGAAAATCAGACGACAGCAGGATAACATGAACTCATTTTTTCACAGATTTCGGTTAATAGTCTAAATTATATCAGGATGTATAGATTGAGAAAGAAAACTGGACGTACTTTTATCCATTTGACAAGCTGTTACTGATAGGGACTGTTGATAACATACATACAGAGTAATCCAGTCAATTAAAGTCGGAAGACATAACTTTAATTACCGTTTACAGCACATCCCTCGAAGTCTAGTTTTTTATGAGTTTGTGTGAACTTTACACCATGCGTTTAATTTTTGAAACCATTTTTGAAATAATCAATATTTCCAGCATGGTCGTCAAGGTTGGGCCTTTCATAAACGAATTGGAAGCTTTCACTTATGGGATTAATTTTGTTTGTCCTCGATAATGTATAGTTCACTTGGTTAAAGAGTTGGATCTCTAAACAACTTAATCATCCACTTCTTCCAATTTATTAGAAACTGTATAAAAACTTCGTTACTACTAACTACTGCTTGAGTAGAAAGGAAACAGTTTGAAACAGAAACTTTTCAGATTTCTTGATTGAGGATAGAAGGTTTTAAGCTTATGTTAGTCCTTTTGTGTTAAATTTCTGTGTTTTTCCAAACCCTTCTTGAATGAGTCAGTTTAGGTTGCTGACACCATTTCTTTTGGGAGTCGGTTCCAGGTATTTATGACTATGTGAAAGAACCAGTACTCAATAGCAATATAGTTTCTCCTTGGCTTTTGAATTCTCCTGCTTTGTCCTCTGAGGTATTCCGACCTGGTGTGAAGGAAAAGAGAGGATAGATCAGGTCTGTAGTCATTATTTAAAATTTTAAACGTTGTAATTAAATCTCCTCTCTGCCTCTGTATGATGGGGAGAAGAGATTTAAACGGTCTAGTGTTTCCTCGTGTGATAGGATTAGTCATGCGAGAAATCATGTGTTGCCTTCCTTTGAACCCTTTTTAGGATAAGTGAGTTCCCTTTTAGAACAAGGACTGGCTGCCTGAATGCAGTTTTCCGGTCTTGACCTCACCAGAGGTGTATGTAAAGAGGTGATTCTAGTAAAGGCTCTGTGAATTCCCCCATAAAGATCTGAAACTATCTGCGGCCACCATGTGACTATGTTCTGTTGTTTTTAAGTCGTGACTTACTATGACACCTAAATCCAAATGAGTCTGAACTGGTGGGTGTGTTATTCCCTCTAGTTCGTAGGATCTGATTCATGCGTGTCCAATGCGCAGGGCTGCACATTTCGCTACGTTGATTGGGAGAATACATTCTCTGGACCAATCTGATAATTTTTGGAGGTATCCTTGCAACGTGAGCGTATCACTGCCACCCTTCAGCTCTCTCGAGAATTTTAAGTCATCTGCGTATTGGACCATTTGGGGAATCCGTGACCACAGATAACTGATTGATACACAAATAAACCAGAGAGGCTTGAGTACCATGTCTTGTGGCACTCCGCAACGTACGTCGGCCAGGAGAAGAGTTTTGAGGTGATCCTGACCTTCTGTCCCCTATCTATGAGGAATTCCCTAATCTATTTTAGTAATCTTGATACCTTTGATACCAAAACTTTCCTACTTGGTGAGTAGTCTTTGAAGAGTCACTTTCATCGTAGGCTTTACTGAAGTCTATGAAGGCGATATCTACAGTTCTTCTGTTGTCCCTTGACTTGATCCAGCTTTCCTTGCCGTGAGGAGATTTGACAGGTATGATAGATTTCCCCGGGAGCCATGCTGTTTTCTGGACATCAAGTTGTTGTTTCCCGATATACTGTGATAGCTTTCTTGATGATTCTTTCAAGTATCTTGATTAAGGTGCTGGTGGGACTAATGTTCCTGTATTTTGAAGGGCATTGTCTTGATACCCCTTTGTGGATGGGGGTTACTATGGCGTCTTTCAAGTCACATGGTAACACTTGATTTCGTCGTTTGTATTTTTTTGAAGCTTTTCAGTCTTACCAGAGAACTAAAAGTGAAAGTCAATTTGTTATTTCAAGAGTAAATTAATGCAGTTTCTTTTTTGAATCGAAAATCAGCCAGTGAATTTAATCATAGTATAACTGTGGTCATCAAGTATACTAACTCGATTCACATAGCTGAGTTGTAACGAGTAAAACTGAAGTATTCTTGTCCAAACGCTGGGAACCAGTCGAGCTATTATTCTTCCTGGAGTGATTCGCAACTCCAAAAATCTTCCACCGGTAGCAAAAAGATAGTTATATGCGATAAAACCTATGAATGCTGCTAGTGCTTTCGATTAACACCAATTTCTAGAGGCTGTTTGTAACTCTGGGACAGAGCAAAGTGCACTCCATTGTGGTTAGTTTTCAAATGATTTGCTTACAACTCAGTTGGAAGGCTTTTCTGAACCCTAACCTCCGTATTCTGTGTTGTGGTAGAAAAAGTTGTAATACACGAGTCTTTCATTAAAATTAGATTGTTAGTCTCCTCCATTATCTTCATGGAATCAGAGTCCAGTGAATCTTTCGTTTTCATTTCTACTGATTGAGGAGTTGTGGACCCCACAATCCTTTTCCTTGAAGCGGCATAATCGTCCTCTCTTTGTTCTGGAGATTTAGTGATGACAAGTGGGCTGTATGGCGTTTGTTTAATTTAAGATGGATGTGAACATAATCATCTCAGAATACGAATAGATGATTTTTCTATATGAATTAATGTAATGCCTAAATAGTTCACGTAAGGCACCCGTCTGTACTTCAATTACAAATGTTTTATTTCTGATTTGGCAGTAGCATCAGCATTCAGCTTTGAAATACGTGTTGGTGTTAGAATAACAACCCAAATGGCATCCACAGCAGCATCCGTGCTGCCCGGAGTTCTTCGCGAACGTAAGGCTTCCGACTTCTGTCTATCCTGAAACTCGTGAAATTTTAATTCAGTTTTCTCCCTCAACTTAGCTAAATCTACCCTAGAGATAGTCTTAACATGGTCATTAACCAAACCTAAATGAGACTCATGAAATGAAATTGCTTCAAAAGAAGACTTGTCGTGTTTCTGGAGGTACATTCTGTAGTGCCATCCCCCAGGCATATTGCTGCGGTATAGTAAGTCGACTAAATCATTAAATTATGAATAGACGATGTATCAGGTATCTTCTAAAGAGATCTAGTTCAGCCTGTCAGTTGTTTATTATAATAATCGATTTGTGTATCCTTTTTTAAAACGAAAAAAACAGCCTTATCAATTGGGGTATGAATATTTCTCAACTCAGAGAGTGATTCAATAAATAGGATTAAAATAATCAACGTAGTAGTATGTTTTTTTTTCATCAAATTTTTGTGTGATGTGATTGATTCCTGGGTGAGATATACTTTACTCTGAGAATACTTGAGTGTATTTCAAATCGTAATACTCGTCTTCAAATACCGTCTATCATATTGGACTCTGCTTTTTCTCTCGCAAGGTCAGTACATAGGATAACTGGTGACTTCCCATCAGGTCAATTGATTCGTTCCAATCAATTTGATACCATGTCAAGATATCAGAAAAATTGTTTAAATCAAAAACCGATCTCATCAATTTTGAATACTAAATTAAACAAGGTAACTCGCAGAGCCGGTAGTGCCAGCCCAACAATATACCGATCAGCTTCACATGGATCTAACACTTCTAATACTGTCTGCCTGAAGTCATCCCATTATGGTAACATCGAACTAATTCTTTAGATAGAGCATTATCAGGTATTTGCTTTTTTATTTATAATCGTTTGGCTATTTCTTTACAATTTATCATCTCAATTTTATATACGCCGTTTTAATTATATACTGGGTAGAATTAATTAAGACTGGGCATCATGTAGCTTCATTTTATTGTGACAGTTTTAAAGATAAAAGACACAAAGTGTAAGCATGGTATGTTTCATGCCGCCTCTCCCACATTAGTTGAAACAAAGCATACTGTCAACAGCAACATCCCATTCTTTCTTCACGTATTGGCTTCAGGATAAGCAAGTGATAGTGTAGAATTCTGAAGTAAGATTTTGTGTTATGTGTACGGATAGACGTTTGCAGAGTGTGAATTTGTAATCACACAGATCCTTGAATATACGGTCGATGTTCCCGTTTTTTTTCAACTTATTTCGGTATTATAGGTGAGTTTTTCGAAAATTTTCGAGATTGAATGGTACTTTAAACTGTTGCGTGTTGATATCTACTGAAGTCTGTGAACCATTTCTCACTAAAAGTGTTTGGAAATTTGACTTCACTACACACATCCTCCAACTGTTTAGCCAACGTGACTTGTATTGACAGGTAATAGACGCTTATCAATTTAAAAGTAATTTAGGAAAAAACCATAGGGTAGTCCACGGACACGCTTATCAGGCTAGTTAATTATCTTACCGAACCTTTTTCACGTTCAGCCCCTGATTTCTAAGATTCATTCTAAAAACTCCCAGCTTCACAATTATACTGTTGTTAATCGATTGTTATCGAAACATGCTTTGAGGTTGTTTTAGTTCATCTGTGAATTATACCATCAGATAACCTTTCTGTCCAGATTAAGTGATAAATCAGTTGATTAAAATGACGCTTGAAGAATTTTTGAGAGACTATAATCTCTGAAATCAGTAAGACTGGAATTATAAAATGTTCTACTTATCCACTTATAGACAGTAGTTATGTTATGTTGAACATAGTTTGACTGGTAGCCATATTGTACTTAGTTTTGTTCTCACTGGAACTGTACCAGAATACTATTTTACTAAGCTATTTGGATACCTACATGAAGTCTTGACTACTATTAACTATGAGAATAAGACGTACTACATAACAGATTTATTGATCTCATCTCTCGTTTAAATGTCAGGATGAAATGTCCTTCTGTAAAATTTAATCGCACTATGAAGTTAAGAGGGCCTAAAATTTAAAAAAGGTATACGTTTCTTGAACAGTATGAGAATAAGTTATTGAAGAATTTCTGTGGAGGTTTAAAGTTAAAAAACCAAACACCGATTCACCACAAAGTAGTCTACAGGATTTCATTGTGAGGTTACATCAGTTAGAGAACCATTGGAAAGCCACCAAGGGAGTACTGGACAACTATTTCATCCTAGTTTGAGGTTCTTCATCAGTTCGCACCCGCCAGGGTTTGAACCCAATATCTTCCTGTTACCACGTGAACTCGTAGACCATTAAGGCACTGGGACCAGATCCAATGGCTCAATTCACGGTGTAGCGCGACCACTAGCTAATATCATCGGCAAGTATTTGCTCCCACACCCGACCCGCCGTACCCCACTGAAGAGTCCCAAATTAGGACGGAACAGCTGTCTAGTACTCCCACGTTTTCCAATGGCTCTCTAACTGATATCAGCTCATGATAAAATCCTGTAACTATTCAAATCTCAGCAAACCAACATCTGAATTACAAAATAGTCTAGTTACAGTTAATGTGACTTTGTATCTTTTGTGTAAATATTCAAATTATATTCACATAAAATGTTAACTATCATCGAGTCATAAAAAAATACATATTCATGTTTATTATTCTGCTCATCATCAATGAAATTCTTTGAGGAATTTCGGTGAATAACTCCAAATGATGGGTAAGTATTGTCACAATCTGAATTCACATATTTTTATTTCTAGTGAAGTATTAGGCAGTGTTGTAAAATCATTGTGCACTACAATTCATGGGTTTTAATCGCACTGATATTTTTGCAAAAACTTTACATACTTTCTAATCTACTTATTGTTTATGTGAAGCTGTAACTAATATTAGTTTGTTCATTTAACTTTTTATTTGGCAGTGATTAGTCTTCATCATCCGACCCTAACTAGCTTTAATAACTTGGCTATGGCTGACTACCTACTGCACAAGACTTTAGTTCACTGCTAAGTTTCGCTTCATTCACTCCTGCTCTTTCCTTTTCTCATTTTCTTTCCACCCGATGGCAATGTTCATACAGATCCCCATATTTTAGACATACCGATGTGAAGTGTCTCAACTTTTACGAATCCAGTTATGTTAAACCCATCTAAGTGAAGGAAGTTACAAATGAACAACTCAGAATTTTAAATTAAATGTTTGCCTTCTATGTATCACTCATCATTTGTATTATATTGCACCAAAAGCTTTCATCTATTGTAATATTGTGTAGAAAGGATCAACTGGTCTCCTACTTTCATATAATCATTTTGGAAAGAGTTAATAACTTCTTTTCATCTTTTTTCTGTGCATGTATGTGTGTGTGTGTATGAAACCGATAGGAAGTAATCGTCGATTTGATCCAACTGCATATGTGAGAGAAAAAGAAAAGCAACGAGAAGAGAATGCCCTTAAACGGTAAGTCATTTAATTTAATATAACTTTCTTTACTGTATAGTCGGTGGATTGTTTTGTTTCATCAGGATACTTTAGACATCTATAGTAATTGTTCTTTCAGATTGTTGAAAAACAGTTTATTATTATTATTATTGCTCCCTTGGGTTCCGAGTGGAACATAGGACTGCAACAACACATCTCCACTTTTTTTCTATTTTCTGCTGTCCCCTTCATCTGAGCCTATGGTTGCCCATAATCTCTCATCTCCTCGTACGATCTTATCCACGTCACCCTAAGACAGCCCACTCATCGTTTCCCATTCGGGTTTTACTCAAGCAATAGCTCGGTGTGCGATGTCATTCGACGGTCTCTTCGATGTGTGCTCAATCCATTCCCATTTTCTCCTACATATTTATTGAACGAAAGGTTCTTGGTTAGTTCGTTCCCATAGTTTCTTGTTGCTAATTTTTTCTGGCCTGCCATTCGATCTTCAGTATGCATCTAAGGCAGCTGTTGAGAAACGCCTGTAACCTGTTGGAAATGCTTTTCGTGATGTGCAGTGCAAGTTTACGACATGTATACAACAACTGACTGACTTAACATTTGTGTTGAAAATCTGTATCTGGTTCTTTATGCTGAGGCGTAGTGAAGAAGACTTCCAAACTGGCTTCAGGTTGATGAAGGTGTAGCTTACGTTTCTGATTCTGGCCAGCTTTGACATCTTCATCTGTTCCGTCGCCTGTGGTTGAAACGATGCTTCCTAGATAAGTGAAGGAAGTGACCTCTTTCCAATCTCACCCGTTGGATGGTGTTCACCTGGAGTCCTGTCTCCACTGGCTGCTTCTTTGGCTAGTTTGTTGGTTTTCATCTGCAAACCTTCGAGTCTGTGTGACATTCGACATCGTTTAGTTCTTGGCTTACTTTTTGGTTGATAGTTATCGCTATCGTTATGGTCAGCCTGTTAGCTGTTTTAATTATGACATTGAACTGCGAAAATCAAAGATCATTCATGGCACTTTTGCAATATTTATATGACTATGTAGAAGCGTCTTCTGTTTCGTGGATAAGACGAAATAATTAACTTTTGAACATATCACTTTGTAGCTCAATAATATTAGGTATTGGTCATTATATTTCTTGACCTAAAGGCAGCATTCGACTCTGTCGATCGGGAAGTTCTCTGGAGATGCTTGGCTGTAAAGGGAATGCCGAGAAAATATATTGCACTAATTAAAGCACTCTACTCGTACTCATACAGCCAGGTGAGGGCTTACGGCGAGCTCTCATCTGAACTGATGACGACCAGTGGTGTCCGTCAAGGATGCCCATTATCTCCTTTTCTATTCAACTTCATCATAGATGTACTAATGGACTTAACCCTAAGTGACTTCAGCGACTCAGGGATTGACTTGCTACCGGGGAATAATCTCGTTGACTTGGAATATGCAGACGATATAGTCCTTCTAGGCGAAGACGCTGACGAAATGCAGAGTCTTCTAAACACCTTGAGCCGCAATCTACGAATGTTTGGCATGCGATTCGCTCCCGCCAAATGCAAGATGATGTTACAGGACTGGACTACATCGACGCCTAGTTTAAAAATAGGCGGTGAAGTGGTAGAGCCCGTTGACCGCTTCACTTATTTGGGAAGTACCATCAGCCCCAACGGGCTGATCTCTGACGAAATCTCAGCACGAATACAAGGGGCTCGTTTCGCATTTGTCAGTTTACGCCGACTCTGGCGTAGACGAGATGTTCGACTATCGACCAAAGGGCGGGTTCTTATTACTCCTTTGTCTCACACCTCTGCCACTGTCTCTATTATGCTTTTCTTGTGATTTCTTCTCTTTGCTTCGCGTGCTACACGGAGTGTGGCGACTTGAACTTCCGCACAATTTGTGCAAAGTTCTATGTCGAAAACAAACAGACAGGTTTAATATAACCTGATGTATGCTTAATGTAGTATAACATTCACTACTTCCACAAAGGAAAGCCTAGAGAAACTTTTGAAATGAAGACAAGGCTACCTACTATCATCAATGGTATTCGTGATTGTGGTAGACTGGATCATGTGGTAGTTGGGAGTGAGAAAATGGGTATTTGTTAGGGTGACAGAAAGGCTTCAAAATATCTTAACCCCTGGATGATTTATGCCCAATGTCTTACAAACTTCAGGATTCGCGCGTAAATTGGCGGAAGAGGTAGTGAAGGTGAATAGAAAACAGGTGAATATAGAAAACACAAAGGTGATGAAGATGCTCGGTCACCAACAAAAACGAGTTCTGATTACCATCAATGAAAGAAGTCTGAAGGAAGTCGTCTCTTTCACTTAACTGGGCAGCGTCGTCCTAATGACAGGCGTCACTGATGAGTATGTTAAAGAAAGCTAGTATCAGAAAAAGAAGACAGGAGTTTATTTCTCTGAAATCAGTATGGATATCGACAGCACTTACCACAAGAGGCAAGATCCAAACTTTTTCCATTAATGTCAACCCAGCACTTTTATACAGTTCAGAGACTTGGGGCGTTACTTATAGCATTTCCAACAAACTGCAGACTTTCCTCAACAACTGCCTTCACTGCCAAATGACCACCCGGAAAGGACAAGCAAGAAGCAGCTTTGATGATTTACTAGCCAATAACCTACTACCCAAAAAATATTCAGGAAGGAATGGAGACGAGTTAAACGTAAACTGAAGAGAAATTCAAATAACATTGCACACCAGACCCTAAAGTAGAGTCCAAGTGGATGTGGATGCAAGAGTGAAGGAGATCATGTAAAGAGGAAATTGAAGCATGCAGCCTGTTGTGAAGCCAGCTAAAACCGATACCATGGAACAGAATGCAGTAGAGCTGTGTTGCTGAAAACTCCTGCTCCACTCAGAATACAAGAGAAGAATGATAATAATATATTGTGTAATGTTTAGTCTTCGAGGAGTTATTCAGCGACTTAATGACTATCTTTGGAAATTATTATTCTGAATATCTCGTTCATTGTTTCTACTAAACCGAAACGTTCGGTTTCTATTAACAATGAAATTAATCATGGGTAAATTCAAACAGGAGACACATTAACATAGATCAAATCTATCAACTAATAAAGAATACGTCATACTGTGGCGTGTGCTGTTGACAAGATTTATCAATAGTATACAAAGATATGTTCAATGACACAAATATATCGAATAGCGAGAAGATAAATTTGACTTCAAAGTGCGTGAATGATTCAGCTTTGTGGCAAAACATAGGAGACACGAAAAGAAGACAAAGAAACACAAGACGAAGGGCGAAATTAGCACAACACGCGAGATCTGTGCAAATGACGATTTTCAGAAAAGCTACACATAATTTTCCTATATAGGAGCATCAAATCCTAAATAAACATTCCGTAACCAAGCCTCTTGTCTCCTACCATTACAGTGTCACAGAAAAGTCAAATTTCAGTTCAATGAAATGATGATTACCAATAGTAAACTACCAGTCAATCAAATTCAGGGCCATCAGGAAAGATAGTTATATCATTCATTCATAACTGAAAAAAGATCACTTCATATTGAAGTCTCTGCTTAAAATGTCTAAAAGGACAGTCAAAGCTTCGTAAATCAGTCATCTAACGTAGGATACACAAGTAAACTGATATCATCCACCTGAGCTATAAATCTTGTCCATCATAACACTTTGTGTGCGTCGATGGCACAGCTGTAGAGTGCTCGCCGACCACGCAGGTGGTCCGGCGTTCGATCTCCAGCCGATGCACTCCTTTACCTCGCTAAGCCAATAGTAAGAGCTGTGTATTTCACTCGAAATGCAAAGGATTTAAAAAATTATAACGTTTTATATTTGGAACAATGAGTACTAGATTCGAGTCTCCGTAGGAACATCAATACTATCTAGAAATAAGGGTGTATTCATTCAGATGATGAGTCCGAAATAGGACGAAATGTGCATCTTGAATTTCATTGTTAGCCACACAGACCGAACAACACCTGGCTTGATGGCTAATCTATCGGTTGCGTTTAAAGCCACATCAGCCAAATTACTATAATTATCTAAGTAATATATTTGACCTCCAAACAAAACCTGTATCACCTTAACTATAAATATGTAAAAAGTAGTTAGAATAACGTATTATCCGGTTAGTGCGTGATACAAAAGATAAACAAAACACCTTTTCAATATTTACTCACTTCCCATCTTTCTGTAAGTTGTGTCTTGTATCTTGTTGATTTTTACTAAGTCAGTTATTTATTATAAGTATACACTACCGAGTGATTGAGATGATTAGTGGTATGCCACTCATATCAATAAACAGTGCTTGCTAGTCATATCGAAATGGTCTCAACACCGCATGGCTGTTTCGTTCTTTTGGGGAGGAGGTAATGAGCAGTGTACTCGGTTCGACTCAGCTCAGAGAGTCGAGTCAATTTAAACCACCTGATTTCTGGTTACATCGCTGATAAGCTTGGTCTGAAACGGGAGAAACAGCCGTCTGGTGTTTAGATCACTTCGACCTGGCCAGCAAGCACTACTGGCTGATGTGAGCTGTGCACAACTATTCCATTTCAATCTATCAGTAGTATGTGCTGTTATGCATTTGTGCTTAGTTTCCTGATCACCATTTATGGTATCAAAATGATCACATATTGTGATCTAAATAATGTCGATTTCCAAAGGAAACTGGCGAAATCACCTTGACCTGTGGTTATAAATGTCAAGACACACCTACAGGGAAGTTTCTTGTAATAGTTTTACTATAATCTAGTATTTCATGATTACTGCTTTTGTTTCAACCCCTAGAAAATTGGCACATCGGCAATCATTGATTGGTACAGCATCAAGATCATCTTCAAATTTAGATCATCGATACAATTCTGAAGCTAAAAATACTAACTATACACGATTTGCACGTACTTCCAGAACTTCATCACCAGTATTTTCATCCTGTGAATCTGGTTTAGAGTCTATAAGTAGGACACAACAATATTCTAAGATTAATGGAAAATACGACCGTATTCATTCAGCTTACACAACTAATAATTTTAATAGATCTGTTGGTTGTTCACCTCGTCATTCACCGTTAAGATCTTCGCGTTCTCCTGTCAACAGTTATTATTCTTCTAATTCTCCAGAACCTTCATATAGAAATGTCAATCAAATGAATAATTATTTACGAAATCATAATAAACATGATTCACCCACTGCATTAAATGATATTAATATTTATAAATCTTCAAAATCACGGTCAAATGTAGAAAATCCGCGTTCATCTGAAAGCTGTCCGAATGATAACGAAATGGATTCTGATTACAGGTATGATTATTTATGTTAATGTTGTGTTTATGTTCTTCTTTATGTTCTCCACTAACTAACATCCTAAATGCTTCTTTCTCCAAAAACGTTGTACCTGTTCCATGGAAAGACATTAAAATAGTCCCAGTCCCTGAACCTGGCAACAGCAAGAGCGTAAATTTCAGACCCATCGCCATCACTTCCCCGTTTCTAAAGCTTATGGAAAAACTAGTACTTCTTAAACTCGAACCCTCCCTTAAAAGCTTTGAAGCCCCCAAACAATTTGCTTATAGACAGGATAGGTTCAGCCGTCTTACACAACAGTATCGTTTCATCATTAGATAAAGGTGCCAAATACGTCCTCCGCACGTTTCTCGACTTCACTTCTGCTTTCGATTCTGTACCTAGATGTCTCTTGCTAAATAAGCTCTCCATGACACAAACTGAGTCCTGGGTCACTAACTGGTTGCACTCCTACTTCTCAAACAGAATGCAGTACACTGTATACAAAGGTAAATCCTCCTCTGCTGTGCTCACTGAAGCTGGTGTCCCCCAAGGTGCTGTACTCTCCCCACTTCTCTTTTCATTCTTTCTACATGACCTACCATCTTTAAATGGCATTAATTTTGTCAAATATGCTGATGACCTAACTGTATCTTTGCCTGTCAAATGTCAAAGTGACTGCTCTAAACTAAATGGCTTCTTATCAGAAATTAGCCAATGGTCCGAGGAAAACGGTCTCACCTTAAACCCCTCCAAATGCCAAACAGTCAATTTCACCTTTAGGCATAAATCTGACCTAAACAGACTGGTTAGCACTCACGAGGTGTGCAACATAGATGGCAGTGAAATAGAAACCAAGTCGGAAATTAAATACCTAGGCGTCATTCTATCTGCTGATCTATCCTTGTTGTCTCATATCTTGATGATTTCTAAGAAAATATTCCGTCTTACCTTCTACATCAAGAAGTTAAGACATTCTGGTATAACCCAACCCTTACTCCTACAATTCGTTAACTCTCGTATTCTGCCTATTATTCTCTATTGTCCCCTTGGTTTTGCCTGGGATACTGAAGAAAGACTATACGCAGGATGTTAAAGGTTGTCAGCAGGGTAAGCAGTGTGCCACTTAAGCAGCTTGTTAATATTCTGGTTGACAGGTACATGGACTCATGTAAAAAATGGGCTAAATCCGTTTTATCTAACTCATATCACCCTCTCCATTCACAACTCTCCCCTAGTGTCTCATCAGACAGAACCAGAAGCCTATATAGAAAACTATATGCTTGCACTAGTAAGTACAAAAACTCAACCATACCCTACTTAGCTCGTGTTCTGTGTGATAAAGAAAGCATTAGACGTGATACCTATAACTTATTAAATAGTCAGTAGAACAACTGGATCTCGTCTTTCCAACTCATATCATTTATAGGTACAACGTTTTCTTTCTCTCTTTTTTCTCTGTTATGTGCTGCTTTGTTTCTTTCTTCTGCTTACGCCAGTAAATATGCTAGCACCTATTTTTCTAACACCTTCAAACGCTCTGTTCAATTTTGGCTTTTCTACCGACATGCCAATATGTTGTTTGTCAAAACGAACTGAGATTACCCTTAATCTATGTAGAATTTTATTTATTGATAATGTACTAACTGGATGCAATCCTGTAGTAAAATGCTGAGAATTTCATTATGTATCATAAGTACTGTTTTGGAATAAAGCAAATTATTATTATTTAAGTGTTAATTGAAAATTTCCTGCATCAAACTATAAAATGTAGGTTGTTATTCCATTTTTGAAGTTTAGTGAAGTAAATCCTCTAATGCTTTTAGCGCTGTGTGTGTACACGGAATTAAGACTTATGATGGTTAGGCTTTTTGATTATTTGTAAAATGTGATTGACACCGATTATCCGTCCGAATCAAGTTATCACTAAGATGCTTATTAAAAGAAAAAAGGAGAAAGGCGAATAAATAGATGTGATTAATAAACTGAAATACAGTAAAGATAAATGTAGGTTTTGATCATTTTTTTTCTTTTATCTCATACCGAAGATCTTTACTTTAAATGAGTACCTTATAATCTTCACGCTGATGTCATACTTAGTTTAGTCATGTTAAAGCTGTTTTCATTCCCCTCCCACTTCAAACTTTATTAGCATCAGACTGGATGACAGATTTAAGAATAAAACTTGGACACTGTGGTAGAGTATATATATACATATGTCCAAACCAAGTTCACTTTTAACAGTTTGAAAAAATTTGGGCATTGTGTATATGGTATTCATTATAATAAAGGTTTTTGTATTTCCAATGAATGAAAAACAATGAACGATATTGTTGTTTTTACTAACGTTTCGCTATTTAATGCCGCTAATAGCTTTATCAAAGTATTATTAAACCGAATTTACAAAATCTCAGCATATATACATGACAAAGAGTTAAGGGATGAGAAAATAAACTTAGGTCAAGTTAAAAGGATGTACTGAAAGTCGAAATAACAATGAAGATCACTAAACTAAATAACAAAGGTAATAGTACGTCTGTTATGATATCAAAACAAAGTTTACTAAGTTGATCATCGTTCGTCAGTCTGGGGTCATTTTTGGTTGTCAAGTTGGTCAATTGGTAAAGATAACAAAACCAAGTGTAAATTGTTGGATTTGATCAGTGTGTAAAATTATGAAAGCAGTGTGTGTTTACATAATGAACTTGCATATCACATTGGTGTTGATTTTGTCACTTCATGGGGGAGCGAGGTGTTGTAACCAGGTCAGATTCTGTTTTAGTCCATCATTCCTATTCAGGCGATTTGGATTTCACTTGATATGAAGTGCTCCTGATAATATCGGACGTTCTTTGTGATTTCTGAAGTTTTTCTGCATTATTTCAATATTGTCAAAATCAGTTTTGTGACCTGATTCTATAGCGTGTAAACCTATGGCTGATGATTTTTCAAGTTTAATAGTATTTTGATAAAGCTATTAGCGGTATTAAATAGCGAAACGTCAGTAAAAACAACATCGTTTTGTTTTTCATTCATTGGGAAATACAAAAACCTTTATTATAGTGGTAGAGTATAATTCCATTATGGATAAAATTTTATTTTGATAAAATTACACAGTGTTATACAGTAATATTTACTAATGATGACATTTCGAGCTCAAATTATTGCTCATGGTCATATGAAGTCACTTACACAACTTTCTTGCTTCATTTATCTACATGAGTAAAAACTGATTAGACTTTTGGATAAAATCAATGTAAAATAAAGTACATTCAGAAATAATATTAGTATTATCAATACATGAAATGAAATACAATCAGATGGGAAATAAGATGTTTTTACGGTAAAAATAAGGAACTAATTAGAATGTTATAATGTAAATTGAAATACATATTAATATTATTTATTATCCTCTGATTTGACTGGTAATAATATCTCCCATGTATCTGGTATTTCCGTTGAGTCATTTCTGTTGCATTTGCTGGGTGTACAATCGATGAACCAGGATTCAGTAATCAATCTCTCTCCACCTACCTGTATTACTTTTTAGAATCTTGACTCTGTCCCACCTTATTGTGTAGTTGCGTGTTAATGCATGTTGTGCGACAGCTGAGTTTTTTTCTAAGTTACTTCGCGGGATTAATTATTCTAACCTTGGCTAAATTCTTATATTCTGATAATCTTACTACTCTGATCTACTCGTTTGACCCATGTAGTTGACCTCATAGTCATTGCAAGGTATTTTGTAAATTATATTATTTTGTTTAATTAGGGCCACCAAGTCCTTTAGTCTACAGAGGTTGTCTCTGAATGAATCTGTAGGTTTGAATACCACCCTAATTCCTGCTTTATTGAGAATCATGCGTAGGGCTTCAGATGTCCCTTCCTTATATATAGTAAAACTGTCGATGCCTTATGAGCAATAATTTGTACTCGAAACGTGGTCATCAGTAAATATTACTGCATTACACTGCATGATTTTATCAAAAGTACAATTGTATCCAAATTGTGTGACAAATTATCATAGAAATTTGCACAGAAGTACATTAATTGCAAGTAATAGTGGGATAACATACAGGCAATAATACCTCCATAAATAAACAGATGCGAAGGGAAAGAAAATAATTCCATGAAAATACTGACGTTCATGAAGAATAAATACATCTACTTCACTACGAATGACTGTGTAATATCACACTGACTTTCTGACCATTGATTGTCAAGATCCCAACAAGTCAAGCCGCATAATCTACATATGGCTGATTCCAACATTAAAGACATCATGGATCAATATTATTTTTTTTTCCGAAGGTGTCTTGAATCAGATAATACAACTTGCTAAGAAAGGTGTCAGGTTGACAGGAGCAACACTTTCCTCAACTACTCTGGTTTTTCAAGTTTCATTAGCTTGTCGACTTATTTTTTTTCTTCTCACCTGGTACCCTTCCTTTGATTTCACCATCATGTACCATGTAATTCTAACGAAAACAATATTAAGAAGACAGTTATGATCTAAAAAGCAACATTTTCTGCTTTTATTGGTCATGGCTCTTATTCATAATGTAGAGCAAACCTGTTATATTATCTGCGTACTCTAAGTCAATCAGTTCCTTTCCCTGCTGTGAGTGAATTTCGAGGAAATGGTGCAACAAAGTCACCCAAAAAGTATAGGTGTAGTGGAACTGATTAAGAAGGGAGTCACTACAGACTACAGACGATATTTAACTCATTGAGCAAATGTCTGTGTATTATGTCATTCTACACTAATTTGTTTATTGGATGTATCACAATTTTTTTTCATTTCTTCGAGTTCCGAATGGAACATAGGGTACCAAGCTTTAGTTTTGAAGCTTAAGCAGCGGTGAAGTTTTATAGAAAGGTGGAGTCGCCAGACTTATGCCCAACCTTTAACCTCTACGGGGTTTCCTGTTAGCTAAGCGAGTTTTAGGAATGCGTCATCCGGGTATCGAACCTGGACCACATATGTGGTTGGCGAGCACCTCACTATTCAACCACCGACGCCCTATATCACACGGTATTATTTACTGGGTGACATTTCTAACACTGTTGGTTTATTGACTGATTATAAGCAATAAATTGTGCACAAAATGTCATTCAGTGAATAATCCTATTCCACTGTCTGACAGACCTAATAACTCATTAAGCCCCTGCACTGACTGGCATTACATATTTTCTCAGAATTTCTTTCACAGCTAGATATTCTCTCAGTATCTTGAAGCCAACTGAATTGAGCACTGCCTTCAGTTCTTCAAAAAATACGGCAGTTATCGAGAACGAACAGTTACGTCTATACTTTAAATTGTGGGGTGATCAATGCACCATTGTGAGGCCTGTTTGGCTTTTCCTTTGGGTCTTACTTACTAGTCATATGAATGGGTTCTCATTCACACTAACCCTCTAATGGCAATCAGTGGGATAATCAACATTTGAATCAGTCTGTTGGGCTTACTTTAAATTTCTATACTTCAACCATCACCTTTGTCAATTTATTACCATCATCCGGAAGGAGTTTCAGAGTGTTGCTGCTTTGTCTTAAAGGAATAATTACACTTGGATCTTGTATATATGCTTCAGAGGCAAAACATACATTTAGATAAAGCAATAAGAAGATGTAATTTGTCTGAACCGTGTAATGTATTTGCACAACACATTTCGAACAATCTGATCACATACGGACTTGTCATAGGAATATGGATATATGAAATTAATAAAGAGTTAAGAGGTGAGAAAAATAGACTTAGGTCAAGTTAAATTAAGTCTATTTTCTCACCTCTTAACTCTTTATTAATTTCAATTACATACATTCCTATGACAAGTCCGTATGTGATCAGACAAATTACGTCTTCTTATCGCTTTATCTAAATTCATAAAGGGAACTAATTATTTTAAAAACTTACATTCATAGTTTAAAATGTCAGAATCTGGTTAGTGAGACCTGCTGTCCAATTTGATGTAGGTTTTGAATGTAGAAAGCTCTCATATAAACTTCATAGCATTGTTTTGTAGTGCTGAAAATGGATTTTACTAGCTTAATTCGTTAGTAGTGGTCTCAAAGTCGAGAGAATATAAATAAGCTGTGTTATGCATAGTATTAGTAATAAAAGGTAACTTTCACGAACATTGAAAGAACATAAACGATTAAGTTAGATAATGAATAGGATGCGCTTTATGTACTGATAAAAGTCTTTAATCTAGTGTTACCTTAGAGCTGTCCACAATATATCAGTTGATGTCTTTATAGAATACCTAACTTCCAAGCATCATTAGTTTTACGTGACAGTAAGACCTAGGAGATGTCCACTCAGTGTCAAGTCACAGAAACCATACCGCCTACTACAGATCACTGTAGAATAAGTCGCTGTCTACGATTGTTAAGCGAAAATTTTTGAAATACTTCTTTAGAGTAGAAAAGCAACATGTCGGTCCTCTTGGCCTTCCAAGTAAATTGCCTCAATATTTTTCACACGCCTTTTGATCGGCGATATGCCGTCGCCCACTGCAATGAAAGTAATTTCGTCGTGATGATAGATACTTCTAATCTTACGAGTATCCAGGTGACATTCCTGGTATGGTGAAAGCCGTTTGACAAATTCTTTTGAACAGTATATCTCGATGGTTCATTACGATATACTATTTCAACCACCAGGTCAATGCAATAGCTTTATTTTCGTCCCTAGCCGACATCACTTAGAGATTACTGAAAACCAAGGAGCACTTGACATCTGTTTCGTCTCAGTTTGAGAATTAACCAGTGCCCACCTATGACTCCACCAAGGATCGAACCTGAGACCTTCAGTTGATGACACCAAGCTGATTGACTATTCAGCTGCCTGGGCTGAATTGAGTAGGTATAAGAAATCGTTGGAGCCATTATATTCATCTCAATTTATAAATATCTACAGATTTGATATCCCATGTCGATACAGTTAAACGAAAAGAACACACGTATAGAGATTTCTAGTATTAACAGTTGTATATACACTATAGTGAGTAAGTATTAGTTTAACTTCATTAATACTATTATGTAAGCTATATCAAAAGATATTAAGTTGATAGCTCTAGAATAATTGTTATAAATAGTAGTTGTATAACCACTGACTCTTTTGATATTCCATTCAGTTATTCTGGGGATTGTCCCTTAGCTAGGAATTCAACAAATCAAAATGAAATTGGCTTCGGATTTTTTGGGGTGATCCGAGTATGTTTTGACGTTATTCTACTTCTAGGAAGTATTCATTCTGTTATTGTTTGATCATAAATATTGATGAATAAAAAGAGTCGATTAGTTCCCCAATTTGACTACTAGTCTAAGATATATGTGATGCACCTAGCTTGATTTCACGTGGTTAGGAACGATTGACAGAAAATCTTACGTTTAAAATTTGTATTTGTTGTAACTTGTCAATAATTCTTGGGAAATTCAAATAGGGACATAATGAAGATCAAAACAAGTGATCCAGCGAAGAGGCTCTTTTCAATCAACTCTATATGTGCTTATCGATTCGCCTGCTCATGTGGGTCTAAATATATTAGCCGTCCGATTAGGGTTTTATTCAAGGGGATACAAGGACACTCCTGTATGGTTACGAAAAGGTGGAATTAGAGCTATAAGAAGCGCGATCATTAAGCATCTGGCCGATAATGATCGCCCTATCTCTACAGCCTCCGCCTGTAAAGTTATCTACAAGACGAAAAGTAATTCGCTCAAATCACTACGTACCCGATTCATCTGTACTGCTGGAGCTTTGGCCTTCGGAATAGAAAAGCAATATGTCTGTACAGAAGTTTCTTCAACCCCACTAACTCTCATGGTCTTAATCCGTCTATGGTAAAGCATGATAATTTCGATTCATACTTTGGCGCCACTTATTCTTCATTTTGTTTATTTAGTTTGTATATCCTTCCCTTATTATATGGATTATTACTATTATTCTTCTCACTTTGAACTGTCTCTGGTACCGATTTCACTTCTCCAACTTGTCACTCTAAATCCAGAAATTTTCGGTTTGCAATGTTAAGTTTTATTTTATCAAATTTTATATCATGTTATGTAATGTTTTATGTTAGCCTACTAACCCTTTTATTATACACCCCTTTCCAACATCCAAACATCCTGTGAACTATTCTGTATATGACATTATTTGTTCTCCCACTTGATATTTAACTACTGCAATCACAAACATTTTAAGTGCATTTCATACATATATATGTGTAAACATGGGCATTGTGGTAGTATGTAATTCCATATTAATTTGTTTATTAAATATATATCATACAGTGAAATAGTATTATTTACTGGATAACGTTTCGGACACATTTTATTGTTCATAATCATATCAATTATAACCGCATAACTTCGGAACTTTCGCTTTAGGGTTTTGTTTATTCTTTCCTATTTGTCGTAAGGGCAGTAGAATCTTCTACTGTGTTCAAAAACTGTTGGAAACAACAAAGGCATCATCAACATACCCAGATTAGTTGACTCTAATAAGATAATTAAAACCTGGAGATTACCCCAGCTATAACACTATATGCAGTTACACACAATAGAGTGGGATAAGATGACAGTCTCAAGGGCGGAAGGAGAAATTGATGAAGGAAGCTTTATTTATCAAATCAACTGAAAATACATGCAACAGAAATGATTCAACACTTATCTTGGACATCTGGGAAATACTACTACTACTCCTAAGACGAACGGAAAGGAATAAAGAGAACTACGAAAATGAAGTTTAGAAGCTGTGTAGTTGTAATCGATATGATTATGAACAATAAATTGTGTTTGGAACGTCATTCAGTAAATAATACTGTTTCACTATGTGATATACTGTGCGTCAGTGGCACAGCGGTTAGGACGCTCGCCGACCATGCACATGGTCCGGGGTTCAATCCCCGGCCACCGACGCACTCCTTTACCTCGCTAAGCCAAAATAAAGCTGGTAAAGAGGAAAGGTTGGGAATCAGGCTAGCAACCCTATCCTGTCAAATCAACACTGCTACAGAAACTTCAAGCCACTAGCTTGGAGCCCTGTGTTCCACTGGGGAACGTGAAGGAAAAAAATGTGATATATCTAAAAAAAAAATTAAAATCGAATTGCATTTCATACTATTATTATTTTATGTATCCACATTTTTGTTAAAATTTCCTCACTTGGTAAAATTTCTTAAAAACTATGCATATATATATGTATATACGATTGTACAGCTTGATGATGAATTCGTTGGAAGGAGTCTCTTCTCCAAATTACTTGTTTTGATTTTCCATTTGCCTATAAGGCGTACCTAAAACATTGAATGAACTATGCTCTTTCACACAGGGAAACTGAAAAAACTGTCATTAACTAAAGATTTGACGTCTTACTGACAGACCCTGGCTACAAATTTCAACTCAACTACTTCATCTCCGCCTATTTCATGATATCAGAGTTGTGGTTCACAAGCCAACACAGTGGACAGTGCATCAGGCAACTGACTTGAGATGTGTATTGTAATCAGTAGGTCAATAATTGTGTATTATTAAGTCTGAGTACTAAAATTTGCCTTATTTCTTCGAAATACTTCATTTGTTTTACTTTGTTTCATTTTTTTGTAGTATGTGTTCTGGACGGTTATCACGTCGATGTAAGTAAATCGATTTTTTGTTAATATTTAATTTTTTAGCCTAATGTAATGAAGTGAGGACTCTGCTTTGACTTTGCAAAAGATTTATGTTACAACCCAGTATTTATGTAGAAGACAATCATAGATGATAGCTGCAAATAAGCTTTAGGTTGAATTCAACACTTTGACTTCAGTGTTGGTTAAACTCAGTACTTTAGGGATTAATGGAAAGTGTATTATTTTTTTTAAATATCTCTTGCTCATACATTTTATGAAGTTACCTTTTAACACTTATAGTTCAGTCAGGCCTTAGAGATATGACTTGCTCACTGGCTTAAGTATTCGACTTTCAAGTATTGGTTTTGTAGGTGTTTCGTTTAATTGGTTAGAGGATTTCATCATGAGTTGACATCAGTTAGAGAACCACTGGAAAACCTGCAGGGAGTACTGGACAGCTGTTTCGTCCCAGTTTGTGACTCTTCATCAGCGCGCACCCACCGGGGTTCGAACTCAGCCAATGCGTTCCGAGTTCAAACTTCACTGTTTGACTACTTCAACCTGGGCGATTAAGTAGTATCATTAGCTCTCACAAAATATGTGTGGTGTGGATAACCTGATACATGAACAGTCTGTCTCAGTTAAGGTAATTTCGTCACCAACCAACATGAGTTAGAGAGATCATTGAAATCTAGGGAGCACTGGACAGCTGTTCCGTCTTATTTTTGGATACTTCAGTAGTGCCTACCCACAACCACACCAGGAATCGAACCCGCGACTTTCAGGTTACGAGACCAAGCTCACTGACCATTCAACCACTTAGGTCGGGACTCAATGACCTGTAAATCGTGACTTTGTCAATTCGTGATATAACGCAATCCTTACCAATGCCTTCCATGAAGATCCACTTCACCTTGACAAGGTGGAACCCTTTAAACCCGACTTCTCAGTACAGCTTCAGGATATCCATCCAGTGGTCATCATTGGGTTGGAGATTGATATTTAGATTATGGGATTTGTAGGGATATTGATTAATTTTAATTGTTAGATTTCGTCACGAACCAATATCAGTTATAGAGGTCACTGAAAACTAGAGAAGGTTTATTTGCCTTATTGGTGAGGTTGATGCTAATGTAATGAAAATGTGGTGGTAACGTCTCTGACTGCAGCACTGGGTGACGCGGATTCGAATCTCAGAAGGCGCATGAGTTCCTTCAAGGTTGCAGATACGCCTTGCTGATAAGTGCCAACTAGCACAAAACCTAGGTCGAGCAAGGCTTCCTGCCGATTGCCTCTAACTATCTAATATCGTAATGAAAATGTATTATTTGATTATACTTTCTAATTCTTTCTAAGCTTAAAGTATTTCCTTCTGTCGAATATCAGTGTAACAACAGAACACCGTAGTATTTGGTAGCGGGATTTTGTATTCGCAAACTGATGTGCAGATATGGTGAAATACACATACCTTACACATTAAAATCACCATATACGTATGTTCTGTATAGCGTGTTTCCTTTGTTTTTCTTCCATGTTTTCTATGCTGATTCACACAAGGATTTTTCATTTTTCCTCTTCTCCATTTGATCTGTCACACCCCCCATTCAATATTCCTGCAGAAGATGTCATATACAATCTACTACTTATTAAATCTTATCAGTAATACCTGTAGCATCAGAAGTTACAAGGCTCAAGTCAAATTACTTACCTCCTTTCTTGTTTCTATTACACCAATGTTTGGTCACAGTAGATGACTAGAGAGTAATATCACTTATCAAAATATAGCTAGTAATCATTCTTCATTTTATTCATTATGTGAAATATTTTCTCTTTTTCTCATTACTAATCAATCATCCGTCGTTACTTTTGCCAACAAAACATTTCAGGGAGTGTAAAATTCGTTTTATTGTTTGATTAGCCAACCACTTAGTCATCCACTCTAATAATAAATAAACTAGAGCTCATAAGTCCCACCAGGTCCTGATTCATGAGACAAAGTTGGTTGTAAGTAATTATTATTATTGTCTGTCTGTCTGTCTGTTTTCGACATAGAACTTTGCACAAATGTACGGAAGTTCAATTCGCCACACTCCGTGTAGCACGCGAAGCAAGAGAAGAAAGTACAAGAAAAGCATAATAGGGACAGTGAGCAGAGGTGTGAGACAAAGGAATAGTAATAACGAAGAACAAAACAGTTTCATTGGAGATCATAAGTCACAAGGAGTGGATGCATCTGCACCAGCCACTGAGAACGATGAGTTTGAGTCATGTCACCAATTGTTTCCAACTATAGATTTTTACCGTCCCGAGGACTCCAGTCTGGAAGTCTACACCTTCCTACGTCTCTGGCTTAAACTAACTGTTGTGGATTTCATTGACTGGTGCCAAGTTTTTGTTTGACCGCCGCTAGCTTTTTTCCAGCCTGACCCTATATCCGCTAACATTGCTCGTAGGTCGAGGAAGGCGATGACTAGGCATACGTAATACATGTCCTAACCATCTCAGTCTTTGTAACTTCACGACTTCGTCGATTGATTATTATTATTATTAATTCTGTGGGTTTCATTTGAAACAGAACTTCAACAGCACATCTCTATCCCACTCTGCCCACTGCAGTCCTTCTTAGCTGGCTTCACGACTGCCCACAAACTTTTCATTTTCTGCATACACGATCTCCTTCATGTCACTTTCAGACACCCAGCTCGTCGCTTAACACCCGGATTCCACTCGAAGGCTTAACAACCTACGATATTCAACTGTCTCCTCAATGTGTTTTTGATCCGTCTCCATTTTCTTCGGAATACTTGTTAGGAGATAGGTTGATGGTTGGTTCGTTCTCAGAGTTTCTTGTTGCTAATGCTTTCTGACCAACCATATGATCTTCAGTATGAAGCTTAGACAGCTGTTGATTAAAGTCTGAAGCCTGTTAGAAATACTACTGGTGATGCTGTAGGCCGAGTCCCTGAAGCACATAAAAGCGTCAACTTGACATTAGTGCTGAAGATCTGAGTTTTGTTTCTTATGCTGAATGCTGCAGATTTTTTCATAGTGATTTCAGAATAAGTGGTAACAACTGTTAACATTCTTCCAATATTGAGAAATACTTAGCAGTTAAATTGTGACCTGTTCAACGTAAAGTCCGAAGACCCTAATATTTTTTTTAATTTCATAATCACTCTCATTTTGCATAGTGTTGCACTACAATCTTTCAAATTAGGACGGATCAGTTAAAAGTCATCTATCTAAAGCAGAATTTTTATGTACTCTGGTATGAATCACGCTTATTGTGTGAAGACTTATAATTGTGCACATTCACCCAGACTGAAATAGATGGAGCAGGATTCGAACTCGGGATTTATTGGTTCTAAGACTAACACAAGTCACATCTTTACTGCTGACAAGAAGTAGCTAGACAACATAAGGTAAAGTACTATTTTTAAAAATACCAAAGACTGAAGTAGTCGGAGCGTCAGTGGCAGAGTGGTAGAATCCTCGCCAATTCAAAGCTTTAGCTTGAAGTCCTATGTTCCACTGAGAACATAAAGGAATAAAATAAAAATTAACCTTTCTTAGAAATGCTCTCCCAAAATCTTATTTGATATGGAGTTCGTGACCATCACTTCTTGTGATGTTTTTGATTATTATTGTTCCCTTGGGTTCCTAGTGGAACATACGGCTTCAACTACACGTCTCCATTTGCTTATGTCTTCCTTCTGCTGTACTTTTCACCTCCATCCATGTTAGTCCATACTCTTTCAACTCCTCTTCACTTCACACGATCTCCTCCATGTCACCCACTCTCGCACTGACGTCCCACTCACCGCTTCCCTTTCGGCCTGGCTCCACTCGAACAATGGCCTGACGCGCGCGCGATGTCACCCAGTGGTCTCCACAACGAGCGAGTGTCCAATCCATCTCCACTTTCTCCTGCATATTTGTTGGTTGGCGGTTGGTTCTTGTTTTGTTTGTTCCCCGCCACAGTTTCTTGTTGGTGATTCTTTCCGACCCGGCCATCTGATCTTCAGTATAGAGCGAAGACAGTTAGTTGTTGGTAAAGGTCTGTAACAGGCTGTTGGGAATATTCTTTGTGACCCGCCCTCCAAGTTTCTGATTCGTGTAGAAGAACTGACTGACTTGACGTTTGTATTGAAAATCCGACTGAATTTTGTTGTTGATGCTGAGTGACGAAGATTTCCAGATTGGTTTGAGGTGGTTGATGAATGTGTTTCTCGCCTTCCCGATTCTCGCTCGATGTGATATCCTCGTCCGCTCCTCCTGTAGTAGTTGAGACAATGCTCCCTAGATAAGTGAATGATGTAATGTACTACTAGTCAATACTTAATCATCATCGGGTAAAAATGTAATAATCCAAGTTTTTTTGACTTTTGTTATTTCATAGAACGGTTGATTATCACTTACTTTTTCACCTATGTATTATTACTTCTGTTGTTTTGTTGTTTTTTTTTCTCTTTTTCATACAGCACAACCAACTAACAGACATATACATTCAAGAAAGAAACCAACTCCTGATGTTGATAAAGATTTAGACGAAATCGATCATCGTTTAAATGTACTTCAAGGATTTTTTGAAAAATATCTACTTTCTTAATTATTATTTATGTCTATCATTGTCTACTGAAGCTTTTATTATTATTATTCTTATTATTTCATGATTGATTTTCAACTTTTGTGTATCTGTGAGTATAATTAACAGTTCACTCACTACTGAACCTGGTAGGGATATACATACATCTGCATATTGTACCTGGATTCCTTTATCTTATTGAGAAGGAAAGTCGAATGTGCATTACATTTTGTATTAAGGCTGTTTTCTCATCCTTTCTTTTTTTTCGGATCTGTGAAGCATTTCAATAAATATGTGTTCTACTCGCTTGTATCGTATTGGATTATTTCCCTCTTTTGTGTTCCCAGTGGAACACATAGCTTCAAGCTTAATCCTTAAATTTTCAGTAGCACTGGTGTTATTTTTTTACGATATGAGTTTGGTAAACTCACACCCAACCTACCCTCTTTCCTGGTTTTACTACCTGTTAATTAAGGTGTAGGAGTGCGTCAGCCTGGTATTGAACCCCAAACCATGTGAGTAGTTGGCAAGCATTCTACCTCTAAACTATCGACGCTCATCGTATTGGATGGAAAGCAGGAATAAATTTTTGTTAAATGGTATTTAAAATGATCATAAAAAATATTTGTTAGTCAAGTCATATCCTAGCAACCATAAATACATTGATCGATAGCTAGGGAGTAACCATTGTCATGCATGGAGTCTTTGGTATTAGTGCAGACCAAACCTATCAGTCATGATTGCAATGGAGTCACCAAACTAGGTGGCTGGCCAACACGGTACACTCTAAATTGATTGTAGATGGTTGGAGGCAATTGGTAGGAAACACCGGACGTACGTTGTATGCTTGTTGGCACTCACCAATAAGCAACGCGTATCTGCAATCGTTGGAGGAACTCATGTCCACTCTGAGATTGGAACCCGGGTTGCTCACTGCTGCAGTCAAAAATGTTGTGACTGGCTATTTGGTCTTATGATTGACTTCCTGTTGGTTTATAATGGGTACTTTGATTGGGCATTTGGTAGTAACGGATATTATGTGTCTATTCCTCCGTTTGGAGCAGGAGGTTAGTCACGAGTTGGAATAACTCAGTGGTAACATCTCCGACTATAGAAATAGTTGACGCGGTTTCGAATCTCAAAGAGGACATGAATTCCTTCAATATTGCAGAGATATGCCTTGCTCAGGTGATGAGTACCAATCAGCAGGAGACCTAGGTTCAGGGATTCCTTTAGATTTCTCCCAACTGTCTAACAACGATAAGTACTTTCTACGCGTGAACATATTAGGTATTGTTAGTAATAATGATTCAGAGAAACTGAGTTATCATATACACACCAATTTATGTACTAATTAATCTGTTGATAGAGCTTATTTCATAAAACATTCTTAGATCCTATTGAATAGGACAACGGATCAGACATCTAAATCAGTAAAATCTCTAGTCATGAATCCTTTTTTGCTTAGTATGTGATTACCTGTTATGTGAACAGAATATGTTTTTATACCAATCAGTCAAACTGATCACTATCCTTGTAAGCTATACATGGGGGGGAGAGGTCAGTTAGTAGAATGAAATTGTTTCAAAGTGTCAGATATTTTTCGTATAGAGGATTTCATCATGAGCTGACATCAGTTAGAGAACCACTGGAAAACCTGCAAGGAGTACTGGACGGCTGTTTCGTCCTGGTTTGGGACTCTTCATCAGTACGCATCCGCCTGGGTTCGAACCCAGGACCTTCTGGTCACAAGGCGACCTCGTAGACCATTGAGCCACTGGGACCCGATCCAATGGTTCTTTAATTCTAACTTCTGCCAATTCACAACACAGCGCGACCATTTCACAATATCTTCTTCGATGAGTTACTGTCTCATCTTCGACTTGCAGTACCCTACTGGTCAGATATTTATCAAAGACTTTCACTTATATACTTTTGAGTTTATCTTTGTTGAAGTTAATCCAGTGTTATAGGTAGTATTTGTTGATATTCTATGTGAGACTATAAAGGATCCTTGGATGTCAGCTTTTGCTAGTCAGCAGTGTATATTACTTATGAGATTCAAGCATTTCTTGGGATTTAGGCACCTCCTAACCAAACCACAAGTAACATCAAATATATAACGTGCAGGTGAATGTCATTTCTCTTACTTCCTTTGTAGTAAAGTCATCTTGTCGGTTGAAGTACTTGACTTTCCAACAGGACAGAACAGATTCAAAGTTTACTCCTTCTACTGGAACAGCTACATAGTGGCGTTACCTCTCACATAATAAATTCGGCTCTTCGGTCAGATTTATCTGTGTTTTTATATGATTGCTGAGTAACATAACTATTATTTATTAAGTTTATTTTTCTAATGACTGGTTATATTTAGTCACTTCGTGTCAGTATTCCTTCTCAAAAGTTAAAAAGTGATTTTTGAAAGTTTTAAAAAGTGATAAACATTCAGTTACCAGGCTGTGAAATATAAATATTTCGTGAGATAAAGCTGAGTACAGGAAGTTGAGAATTCCCAGGGTTGTTTGACCAGTTCACTAATCTCATAAATGTTGATCTTAACTGCAAAACTGCTAGAATCAATAGTAATTGTTGTCCTTAAATTTTATGGTCCAAGATTACTAACAGCAGTACTAGCACATCCATTTCTCATCTTCTGAACCCTAAATAATTTATAATTACAGCTTGTTTTTGTTCAGTTAACTTGGTTTCTTCATCAGCGTTTTATGTCATTAGTTTTAATTACTTGTATGTCATTTCGTCAGCTTCTACTAGCTGCATTTTGATAGATACAAAGATTTTGTTTTGATATATGTTTGAATCAGATCTTACGCTAGTTGTTTCTGGAGAGAAACACCTAAATCTATGATGATAAGTGAAGTTACTGATCAAAGATTCTACTACTCTCGTTCCAACCATCTTGTACCCATCTAAATTCTGTGTATCGATATGGAAGGGGGTGTACTGCCAGCACTTTTCTATGCCCCTCTTTATGGCTCTGAAACATAATCATTGCAAGCGGAAGATATGTAAAGGTTAGATGTCTTTGACCGCATACATTTGCATTCTTGTATCCCATGATAAGTGTATAATATCGTGAGTAATGTGGTGGGCGGATGCAGTATTTAGTGAGGAGGGTAAGTCAGTCTACCAGGTTGTGAAGGTGTGAACAGATTAACATGACTATGGCACATGTTGTGCATGCCGAGCCAATGCCTTCCTCAACTGGGAATGTTGGGTGAAATAGGACTGTGGCAACTTAAAGTGCTGTACTTCTGTGTTGAAACTCACCTAGTGAGTATCGATCTGGCTAGAGAAGTAAAATGCGGTCTAACTTGCAGTGCAGTTAGGGCCACTGATAGATAAAATGGTTATAATCGACATTATACTTTCAAATACATCTTAACAAAAGCTTTCCAAGAGAAAAACATTTGACTACTGTTACAAACGGCTATGTTTTCACAATTTCTGGGTGTATAAAATAGTTTTAAAAAACATTTACATGAATGTCACATTATTTTACCTTCAGTCTTTTTACACTAAATAAGCGTTGCCTTCCTTCGCCAAAACATAAGAATACAATAGGGTACTATCACAAAGACATAAACTTAACAACATAAATAAATTAGAAAATCATTCAAAACAAAATGTTTCGAAATCACTACCTTGTTCAAATACATAGTTCTTCATTATTACTGATCCTCAGTTCCATTTTGCGTCGGCGGCATAGTGGTTAGGACGCTCGCCGACCATGCACATGGTCAGGGGTTCGATCCCCGGCCACCGACGCACTCCTTTACCTCGCTGAGCCAGAAATAATCCTGGTAAAGAGGAAAAGTTGGGCATGCGGCTAGCAATCCCATCCTGTAAAAATAAACACTGCTACGGAAACTTCAAGCCACTAGCTTGAAGCCCTATGTTCCACTGGGGAACGTGAAGGAAGAAAAAATCCTATTTTATTTTAAATATTACTATGCCTTTTGTTCAGAAAACTTGTATGATACACAGTGAACACACCCTAGCAACTAAAGTATAACCAATGTTATGTACCTAGTCCTTAGTGTTGACCAGAATCTATCAATAAAATTTGCAACGTGGTCATCAAGTTATGGGACTTGCCGATTGATATTTATTTGGTTTCCTGTCATCTAAGATACACTGTATTCAAAAACTACTGGAAACAACAAAGGCATCATCAACATACCCAGATTAGTTGACCGTAATAAGATAATTAAAACCTGGAGATTAGTTCAGTTATAGCACTACATGCAGTTACACACAACCACACAATAGAGTGGGATAAGATGACAGTTTCATGATCTAATATAACAGGGTAGAAGAAGAGATTGATGAAGGAAACTTTACTTATCAAATCAACTTAAAATACATGCAACAGAAATGATTCAACACTTATCTTGGACATCTGGGAAATACTACTACTCCTAAGACGAACGGGAAGGAATAAAGAGTACCTGTATGAATGTAACTGATGTGATTATGAAAAAGAAACTTTTTGGAAAGTCAAACAGTAAATAATACTGTTTCATTATGCGATACATCTAATTAACAAGTTAATATGGAAGCAACACATTACCAATCGATAACTAGGTTAATAATCATTGCACAAAATTCCTGGATTCGATCCCCCATTGAATTGTGAATATGCACTACCAAACACTCTGAAGTCTAAATAAGATGCGTTTTCAGTTCTATTTGGGTTTTTAATGATCTCATAGCTGATATTAGTTTGCACACAGAAATCTTTCTGGCAATGTTAAACTGTCATAGACAAGATCTCAGTGACCTTGAGCAACCAATCAGGATTTTAGAAACAAGAAAGTAGCTTTATCGTTGAAAATGTACTTAAGACCACTGCAAACATGATATTACACTATGTATTTGTCGTGTGTGTGTGTGTGTGTGTTGAAAGAATGTCTCAGTTAATACATATGATCTATACAGAAATCATACTATGCGCGATAGTTGTATTCACCCAGGTGACTATAGGTCATGGTATTTTGAGATCC